ACACACACCCTACTGCTTCTGTTTCTTTGCGGAACGCTGACTAGTACAATGCCCATAAGACATAGAAAATGTCTTATGTTCACTGAATAATACCAATGATTTTTGGGGGGAGGTAAGAGTTGCTTTACCTTTTTTTAAACTGAAGACCACACATACAGAAAAGTACTCAAACCACACTTGTGCGGCTCAGTAAATTTTCTCAAAGTGAATACCTTTGAGTAACTACCATGTAAATGGTAACATGCTTGCGTGTTTTATTTTTTTACTTCTTTATGTGCTTTTCTGTGTTCTCAGAATTGCTTCTAATGAGAACATACCATTTTAACAAAAACAATAAAGCCATCATTTTGAAACTTTTTCAAAAAAATATATTACGCTTATGAAGACTGTTTAATGACCATGGGGAAATGGAAATGGAAGAGAAGCTTTCATACAAGTTACAGTCTTAACTGCATTAGAAAAAAACAAAAAACGAAAGGAGAGAGGCCCACACATTGGTAATGGTGGTTTTTTTGGGGGGGTAAGATCATGGATGATGTTCTTTTCTGCTTTATAGTCTTTTTATATTTTCCAAAATTTCTACAGTGAGCAAGTATTACTTTTATAATAAAACACATGTACACAGAAGACCTGACTTACATTGATCTCAGAGAAAGCTCCAGACCCCGTGGCTCTGGAGGGCTCAGGGAAGCTGCTGACCTAGCTGGGGATGGGGTGGGGGTCTTCGAGGAAGGAGAGGCCCCCTGGGCAGATAGGGGTCTGGGGCACCCCAAGCAAGCTTTGCCTGATGATGGGGGCATTAAGACGAGGCCTCCAGCGGTGCCTCTGAGAGTATAGTCTGGGGGCTCTTCCAGCCGCAACGCCGACACCAGGACCAGCCCTGCAATTTTGGTGTCCCCACGGCAAGGGAGGGGCCATCTCAGCCGTGGCCTTGTCTCTCTCAACTTGTGGTCCTTCCGCTTCCCACAGCCTGTTATGAGCTCCAATCATATGCTGTCTGTAGCTCCTGGCAATCTCAGGCCTCCTAGCCTTTGCACATGCTGTGATTCAGCCTGGGATCCCTTCACGCTGCCACCTCTGCGTGCATCGTAACTCAGCTCAGGCAGCTCCTTCTCCTGCAAGCCTTTCCCCACACCTCTCTTCCTTCAGTCTGGGGTTTGAGCCCTTCCTCTGCCTCCCTCTATCACGAAGGTCGATAAACAGCCAGGTAGTAAGTACTTTTGACTTTGCGGGCCACACAGTGTCTGTTACAAAGTATCAGCTCTGCGGTGGTATCAGGAAAGCAGCCACAGACAATCCATAAAAGACTAGGTGTGGCTGCATGCCAATAAAACTTTATTTAAAAAAAAAAGACAGTGGGCTGATTGGCCTGTGGGCTATCATCTCACAGCCCCTACTCTATCATAGCACTTGACAACACTAGCTTCATGAATAATCCCTAAGTTCCGTGTGTTAATGGGACTCCTAAGAAGGACCCCACTGTCCTTTATTGAGCGTGTCTACACACCAGCTCCAGTGCCAAGGGCTTTCTACATACTTCCTGATTTCCTCCTCATGACCACCCCGGAAGGTTAGGATGATTAGTCAACCCACTGTCCAGATGAGGACAGTGAGGCGGTGACTTTTCCCAGGTCATGCAGCTCTTAGGCCATGCTCGTAACTTCTACCCCCAGCTGCAGCAGTGCCCAGGTCTGGGAGCCCCCCGGGGCAGGAGCTATGCTGCACTCATGTCTGCGGGGAGCAGACCTAGTCTAGGAGCAGGACAGCTGCTGCCAAATGGGGTTAAGTTTATCTTGATTAACAAGGCGGAGCCCTTCGATCTGTCTTCCCAGGTCTGAGACAAAGGCACTTCCCTGGAGGGTAAAGGCCTCAGTTTCCCCAGCGGTCCAGAGAGGGCTGTACTGGGTCAGCAGGTTTCCACCAACGAGCCCTGGGTTTCCGCATAGGATGCGGAGGAACGTGAGCCCAGCAGCCTGACTCCTGGCCCTCTTCCCCACCTCTGCTCTTTAGATCTCAGGGTGCTGAGTTCATGGGACCAACGCTGTGCCGCTAGAGAAAGAAAAGAGTTGACGCTCTCCTTCCGTTCAGCTCTCCAACCCAGGCAAGCACCTCCCCAGAAGTGCATCCTGAGTCTGGGAGGGGCCCTATCCCCAACCCCCCTCACCTTTCATCCTTCTCCACACTGGAGGGCAGCACGCGACTGCCCAGCTGGAAGGGGGACTTCGGGGTCTTGGGCTGGGGGGCCCAGCCGGGGGTCTCGCTGGGACTGTCCGCCTCTGGCCTCTTGTGCAGCTGAGCCTGGGGACAGAAGAGAGCTGAGTCTGTAACCGCCTGTGGTCTGGGGAAGGGTGCCATCCGATGGCACTGTCATTGCGTAGTGACGACAGGACCTCCACAGGCAACCAGCACAGGGGCCAGGGGAAACGCTGCCTGACTGTGAGGCTGAAACACATCAGAGGTCAGGCTTGTGGTCCAAGCAGCGGCCTTGATCACTGGGATCACAGAACCACCCCCCGAAAACCCACACAAATTACCTCTGGCTGAAGAGCCACCATTTGTGGTGCCCTCAGCACAGAACATTCCTCTAACTTCCTGAGAATCCTGAGATGGAGGTAACATTCCATCTTGCAGGCGAGGCTCCGCTCTATTAAGCTCCTTGCTCCTGTACCCATTTGAATAAAATGAAGTTTCTGACTATCAGATACCCACAGGAAAAAGGCAGGGTGGATTTTCACCCATTTTTGGAGGGCGCGTCGGGAATGGAATGACTTAGACTGATGCACAGAATTCCCTTGGGAGACCCAGTGTGCATGATGGTGGCAGGTGGCCTTCGTCTCTGACGCAATGCTGGGACGGCCCCCAGCAACGGTGGTCACTACTCCCGTCCTCCTGACAGCTCTGTGCCCTGAGCATCCATCGTTTGGACTCTACCAGGTGTAAGTTATGTGACCTAGGTTTCCCCATTTTACGGGGGAGAAGCCTGGAGGTCAAAGGTCGAGCAGTTTGCCCAAAGTCAAACAGTTTTCAAGAACTGGTCTGTCCAACTCCAACATCACAGCTCTTTCCAGAAGGAGCCTGGCAGTCTCCTTTGATTGCTAATGAATGCTGACATGCCCATGGCCAACAGTGACCAGAGCACATGTGGCTGCCACCAGGCCCAAGGAGCTCGCATCAACGCTAAAGACAATGGTCTCACCTTCCCAGAATGCAGCGGGTCCGAGCTGTCGTCAGGGTCGAGGCCTTGCCTCAGAGTTACTCGGGGCATCCACCTGGGAGCCCCTTCCTGTATGCAGAGCCTTTCGCTGCCTCTTAAATTAGGCTGGCTTATAAGATATCGCTTATTCTGATGCATAAAAAAAAAAAAAAAGCCAGAAAACCTCTGGCCTACTACAGTGGCTGCCAGGCATTCACATTTTGAAGGCCTATAAAATCAATTACAGGGACAAGTAAGTGTGCATATCTGCTGTGTATTGACTTTCTGTTCTTACAAGACATGACATGAAAAGTAAAACCGCTGGCCAGTAACAGAGTGGCACACTCATGGCCCTCCCATAGGAGGCACTGTGGCTGCACAGGGTATCGAGGTGAGACATCCCATGAACAACCCACCCCTCTTCGCCCTCATTCCTTCGTCGACACAGCGTTGCTGGGGGCATGGAGCGAGTTTGCAAGAGCCTGGTGCCCGGCCCAGAACAGCAGGACAAGAGGTTCCCCTCCCGTGCCCAAATTCAGTACAGTTGCCCCCAGGACTGTGAGTGATGCTTGGAGGGGCTGGGGAGGGGAGGAAGGACGCGGCTCAGCCCTGCCCTGGGGGTCCCACAATCCAGCCGGGATTGGGGTGTCATTCAAGAGAGCGTAATGTGGGTGCAGGGCTGGTTTCCCACGTCCTTTGGTATCAAAATGATCGTTTCCTGTGCCTACCATCCCTAGCACACCAAGGGCAGCAGGCTGGGTCTGTTCACTCCTGGTCCCCGGACGTCCAGCACGGGGCCTGATGCCTAGGGTGGACTGTCAGCCCACTTTACAGATGAGAACATTGAGGCTTAGCTACGAGACCCAACTGAGCAGCATGTCTGGGGGATGAAGAAACACAGGGTCACTGGTGAGGTCCACGTAAGTTAGTAGTATTGTTCACAGCACGGGGCCAGGGCCATGGTCCTGCTTTTGATAATATATTATGGTCATGAGAGGTATTATCATTGGGAGAAGCTGGCTGAGGGGTACAAGCGAATAATCTGCACGATTTTTTACAACTTCTTGTGAGTATTACACTATTTCAAAAATGAGAGAAAAGGAAGAAAGGGAGGGAGGGAGACAGGTAGTAAAAAGGCAGGCAGGAGAGAGGGAGGGAGGGAGGGAGGGAGAGTAAGAAACATGGGCCTGTTTTTTTTTTTTTTTGCTGCTGTGGTTGCAAGTAGCTCTGGGCATGAGGTTTGGTACCTTCAGCACTGCCGGATCCACACCGGGAAAGGCGGGCATCCTCTGGGGATGGCTGACGGGGGTCCTCTCAGTCTTGGATGGCTTCTCCTCCTCATCTGACTCTTCCCTCCTGGGGGATTTCTCTTCTGTTGCAAAGAAAAGGGCACTGACGTCACTGCCAGCCACCATTTATTGAGGCCTATGTGCCAGCTCCTTTGCACACAGGCCCTCATGTAATCCTCACAACAGCCCTGCACAGGAGGAACTACTGGCCCATTTTACAGCTGGGGACAAACTCAGAGGCTTGATTTCAGGACCTCTCTTCTTTACAGCTATGCCTCTTGTCGGAAGATGTTGACAATAAGGCAGGATGGGTTTTCTCCTGGGACTGGGCACAGACAGACCCACCTCCTAGGCTCCTGGCTCATTCCAAGTTAGGGAAATAGAAGTTCCTCTATTTCTCTTTGGTGGAGGTGGGAAAGGAGAAAGAAGCGCTTTCAGCCAGCAACGCACTGGGATCACGGTCTCAGAAGAGAGCAGGGAGGGCTTCTTGTGGCTTGCGGAAGAGCTGCCCAGATTCGAACCAAGAGGCCACCTTTCTTCATCCCGAGCCCCACTTTCTGGGACTTAATCCCATCATCACGTTCCAGCCTCATAGGTGAGACTTCTGGGTGACGGGCTGTCTGTCCCCAGTCTTCCAGGAATGAGGGTGAGAAGCTTTAACCTCCTGGCGGTTCAGGCACAGGCTTGGGGTAGTGAGGAGTGGGGGCACGGCGACCAGGATGACTGAGGCAAGGCCTGATCCTCTGGGGCCCCAAGCCAAGCAGGGGACTGGGGCATGTTCAGAAAAGGTACCCCTAGGCGTTCCCCAGCTCCTGGCTGGTTCCTCAAGGCTACTGGGACCTGGGAGGCTGCTGCTGTGTTCCAGCTGGGGGTATTTGCGCGCTTTTGTCCCCACTTTGGTCGTTGCTTGCTCTAGGCAGCCCCATGGAATTTGGCTCGGAAAACTAAGAGTATGCAGAGAGAAGTCTTACTCAAGGCATTTAAACACTTCCTCTAATAACAGACATGAGATGGGAGAGTGAGAGATAGCCCTCCAAGCATATGCCCCTCACCCAGTTCTGAGCCTGGCCTGACATCCTACTATTTGCCATGAATGAATCCCAAGTGAACCCAAGCCCCTATAGTAGCTTTTGGGGGACCAAAGGCTGTATGTGTGTAGAGTGGGGAGGTCACCTGCTATGGTTTCTATTACAAGGAAAGGTTTTGCTTCTTAAAACTCTTCCATGGCTCTTTATCTACAGATAAAGTCCAACTCCTTGGCAAGAAATCATGACTTTCCATGAACCGGCCCCTGCCTACTTTTCCAGCACGATTCCTGCTGTTCCTGGCCTGAGCAGCACTGAGCCACTTAGAGGGGCCCCTGCCACACATCTCTGCCCCTTGGATCCTGCTGATATTCTGTCTGGAATACCCTTCTCTGGCTAATTCCTATCTGCTCTTCAAGGTTCAGCTCAGGCTTTGATATGAAATGCAGCCAAAGAAGTCCTCAGAGGAAAATGTGTAGCCTTAAATAATTCATTAGAAACCAAACAAGACTGATCATAAATAAACTGATCTTCCAACTTGAGAATCTAGAAAAAACACAAGCAAACAAACCTAAAGAGAGTATAGGGTGAATTTAATAAAGATAAAAACATGAAACCCTATTAAGTGGTAGCTCTGTCTCTTGCAACCTGTGGAGCCCCAATTTACACACCATCCCTCAAAAATAATTTTTTTTTACGTAGTTTCTAATAAGCTGTGTAGAATGAGAAATCACAGTTTCCTGTGTAACTGTGTTCTAATATCCTACAGCCTTAAAGTCAGGAAGTTCTTCCCGGTGTTTAACTTCAGTCCTTCCTGCTGTCCCTCGTGGTATCTGTGGAGAGGAGCATACCTGTTGAGTCCTTGAACATCCACGTGCTGTCGGCCTCCTCCTCCAGAGGAGACCTGCTCTCCGACTCGCTGACGCGACTGCGCCGGAGGGAGTGGGAGATGGGGGCCCGGCGGCGGCTTCTCTTGCTGAGCTGCACCCGGGTCTTGAGGGCACTTGAGTCGAGGACTGAGGTTTGCTTTGGGAGCAGCAGGGAGGAGGAGGAAAAAAAGCAAGGGAACCATTAATTGAGGGTACCACCCAAGATAGGTGTACGTAGCTTCACTGATGTACACGGTGCTGCTATTCAGGTGGCACAAGAGCCAGCATTGCTGCATTTTAATAGTAACCTCATACCTGGAGCCTGAATTTCTCCGTGACACGTACCACGTAGGCTGTTACAAGAATCAAATGAAGCTTGAGTGCCCTAGCACTGTGCCTGACACACAGTGGGCATGCAGGGGACATGCCTTCACCCGCCTGGTGACATTGTACCAGCATGGCAGCTACAGCAACGCTCAGTACATAGCAGAAGCTCCATATGTATTTGGTGAATGAATAACTGAATACGTCACCTAACTAAATCCTTACAATCCACACCATGTCCATGCTTATATTGTGGGGTGTCCCTAGGGAGACTGAACTGGTGTCTTTCCTCATCTCTGCCTTTATCCAGGGGTGCCAATGAGATACCCTGATCATACTTATGCAAGAGGGGGTGTTCCTTCCCTGGGTGGAACCTGAGTAGCTGTCCCTAAGAAGGTGGGTATGAGGCATTACTGCCAGGAGAGTGGGTTCCTTTTAGATTTTGCATCATTTAGACACTGCATCTTCAGGAGGGTGGGAAGGTAGCCCCATTGTCAGGGAAGAAGAATAATGAGACCTCCGTGTCTCAAGGATAGAAAAGGAATATCTGTACGTGGGGTTTGTGGGGCAGGGGAGGAAGAGGTCTGATGCTGGTCTGGCAGGAGCAGGGGGCAGCTGTACCTGGGCAGCCGGCATCTTGGAAGGCACCTCTCCTTGGGACCTGGAAGAGCTGAGTTCTAAGGGCTGCCCATGCCTGAGGGGCTCCCCTTCCTAGAACCACTACTAGCTATTTACAGAGACTTAGATCCCCTGGCACCAGGGACATGTCCCACCATGCAAGACCTTGATGAGAACACCCAGCAGAATCGGTCTGAGCAAACTCCACTCTGCCCACGTGGAATTAAAGCCTCAGGCAGAGCCCCCAAGGGTGGGATCAGACTTCTTGCTCACCTAACAGGTGCAGGCTAGGGTCAGTTTTTTGTTTTGTTTTGTTTTTTTTAGCTGAGCCATCCTGCCACCTGTTGGCAGCTCAGCGGCAGCTCAGCTCGGGCCGGGCCGGGCATCAAACCGCTGTTGCTCAGAGCTCACACTCTTGAGCGAGCTCTTAACCAACTGAGCCACTCAGTGGGCCTAGGATCAGTTTTAATTTGAACACATGGGACTGTTTTGGAAGCTGTGGAATCCACTGTCCTGATTACAAGTGGATAAGGAAGCCAAGGCTCAGAACAGTGAAGACATTTGCCCCAAGATTCACAGCTGGTGTATGGCAGGTCTCAGCCACATGCAGACATCAGTTCCATCTCAGGCTGCGTTTTATGCACCCACCCTAAGGGGTGCCTGACACGCAGACTGTACTCCCAAACGGGGCAGTTCACTAGGAGATGCTAGAGCGTCCCTTTAAGATGAAATGACTCTTTCCAGCATGTGCTCCCGGTTACCGACTTACATCGATGAAGGAGAAGTCGTCCACTCTCTTTGTGGAGCAGGCGTCCGGCGGGGGCGGCCCCTCCGTCCCATCCGTGGATTCGAGGTCAGTGCTGGAATGGTCCACGCTCGTGCTCCGCTGGTCCCTGGAGCAGTCGTGCTGGTCCCCAGCCGAGGTGGCCTCCGTTTGGGAGGACAGCGAGGATAAGCGGCTGCTGGAGGGCTGTTTCCGAGCCGAGGTGGCACTGCTGTCCGGGGATGGGGACTCAGGGGCCAAGCTACGAGAAAGGAAAGAAGGAAGAGACAGTCATGCAGGTGGTTTCAGAGAACCGGACATCCAGCAAAGGAGGTGGCAGAAAGTGAGGTGTGGGTGTGCTCTGTACACCAGGAAACGGCAGAACATCTCAGTGGGAGAACCATTTTGGACACAGCCAGATGCTGTTCATGGTGCCTCTAGAACACCTGGACAGGTGCAGAATGGGAGGAGTCAGTCCTGCCCCATTCAAGACCCTCTAACCCTGCGCTGTCCAATATGGGAGCTGCGGGTCTCACGTGACTATTGGGTGCTTGCAATATGGCGAGTGAGAGCTAAGATGGTCCATGAGTATAAAGTACACACTGGATTTCCAACGTTGAGTTAAAAAAAGGGTTGCAAAATATCTTGTTAATAACTTTTTATACCAATTACATGTTGAAGTGAAAGTGTTCCGGGTCTGTTGGGTTCAATAAAACATATTGTTAAAGTTAATTTCACCTGTTTCTTTTTACTCTTGATGTGGCTACTAGAACATAAAAATGACATACACGCCTTGCATTTGCAGCTTGCGCTGTATTTCTGTTGGATATCACTGAAGTAGATCCAATGATTGCATGATTTCATTCATGCTTTCATTCATCCATTCACTCATGCCATACAGATTTATTGAGCACTTACTACGTACCAGGCACTGTGCTAAAAGCTGTCTTTTAATCCTCTCTATAATCCTATGAGGATTATCCTATAATCCTATATCCACCACAGTCCTACAAAGTAGGATTAACTTCATGAAATTAAATATTAACCTCACTAAGGATGAGGAAACGGGGCGCAGAGACGTGAAGGCGCTTGCCCCAAGCGGCAGAACTGACTCCAGATTCCGTCCTCAACCCTCTCCTACTTCTGGAATTTCTCCCCATGATAACGTATTCAAGTACCACTGGATAACGGGAACCACATCAGAGGAAATCTATAAATGAACCAAGTCGTTCTATTAAAAAGGCTCTCCTTGCCCATAAAAAAAGACGCCAAAATCAAGTGCACAGAAAAGCCCAACCGCAAGGAAGGTGAGTGGGCACACCAGGTGCCACCTCCCAGACAGGAGGGTGTATCCTGAAAGACCCCCAAACTACATCCTTGAGCAAAATCTTCAACCCAGGTGTATTGGTGTTTTACTTCGGGAGCACAGCCATAATTTTTTGTCAGCTCTGGGATGATTTGATTACTTGAATGGGGGTGGGGGGGTGGGGGGGGATTGAGCCAAATCCACAAAAAAATGAGGGAAATACCCCCAAAAAGACAGCAGATGGCGCCACTACCCAGGGCAGGGAGCACAGCGGCTCCTGGGGCGGTCAGTGCCTCCGGGAGACAGGAGGGGGCGCTTGGCAACCACTAATCTGCTTTCTGTCTCTGGATTTGCCTATTCTGGATACTTCATACATCATTGTAAAATATTTTTTTGTACTTGTAAATTTCTTGTCTTACAAAACTAGTTTACTCATAGAACTACAGACAAAACAGGTTTTAGTAATTTAGAAATCAGGAGGCAGGTGAGCCACACTGAACCCTGCCCAGATGCCCCGCCCCACAGCCAGAAGCCCCGCCCCACAGCCAGAAGCTCCGCCCCTGCAGCTGGGAGCTCCGCACACCCTACCTACCTCTCCCCACTCTGGCGCTGGTCCGTCCACGTCCCATACTGGCAGTCGGCTTCCTGCACAAGGGTATCGGTGTCCTTGGCCTCGGGGGGCCGCCTGGAGAAACACTGTTTCAGTTGGTCCTGCAAGAACAAGCCAGACAAGAGGTTACTATCAGGGAAAAAGGCTCAGGACCTGGTCCCAGGTGACACAGATCGCAGCGCATCACCCCCAGCTCCCTACTGCTCTCAGAGGTGGGTCCAAACGTCTTGGCTGGGCACTAGCATGACCAACCATCCGGGCTTGCCCAAGATATCACAGGATGCAGGGCTGTCAGTGCTACAGCTGGGCAAACTGGGATGAAGAGGTCACCCTCCCCAGCACCCAAGGTCCTGCTGGGCATACCCCTGACCCTCCTCAGTGCCCCTCTCTCCGCCTCTCCACCTTCAAAGCTCCCCTAACTTATCAGTCTGGTTGGGGCACGCCCCCATGCACACCCCACCCTGGGTTCCCACTGCCACCATACTTCCCCCATCAGCATCAACCGGAAAAGCATCCGTGGAGTATTTAACTTGTGCCAGGCATCTACCAAGCTAAAATTTACATATCACCTCGCTGAACTGCAGTCCCCCAGCAATCCTAAGAGATGGGGCTTATTACACTCTCCATTTTACAGATAAGAACACTGAGGCTTAGAGAGGTGAAGTGACAGGCCCTAAATCAAGTAGCCAGGAAGTGGCAAAGTGGAACTCAAACTCCGGCGGGGGGCTTGGGCCCTAAGTCCAAATTGGTAACCACTGGGCCCCACGCAGCCTGGGTCCCTCCGTTCTGTCACTGCCTGCTCAGTTACGGGTCTCCGCCCTCGGCCTGGGCTCTTGGAGAGGCTGCTGGTTACCACAGAACTGGCCCCAGGGCGAGCCCAGTGCCTGGCAGACAGCAAGGAGCCCATAGATCTCCATTAAATAAATGAACTGCTGGCTTCTCAGCTTGTTCACTTGGGAGAGGATGGAGCTCTCAAGGTGAAACCAAACTCCATCCAGTCCTTTGGACAGCCATTGGCACAGTTACCATTCAGGTGGCCTTGGCTGCCAAGCTTTGAGGCACGTTCCCAGACACCATCTTTTGATAACTTGGGGCCAGTGGATGAGGAAGATGGAAGGAGATAGAGGTGAGGGGGTGAGAGCAAACACGCCCCCTATTCCAGAAACACCAAGAGAATATTTCACTCCTTATGATCCATTTGCGGTCAGGAGGACATCCTGCTGGAATGGGCTTCGGAGCATTCATCTGCTCAAAACCTCGGATGGCTCCCTTATTGTTCTCCCGTTGAAATCCAACACTCCTTGTAATTGAGCCCCAAATTTTCTGTCCGGTCTCATCTCTCACCCCTGCCCCCCAAACAACCCTCTACCCACTGTCCCTGACCTACTCATCATATCCCACCCACACCTCGCACATTTCTGGCCTCTGGCTTTGCTCGTGCTGTTCCTTTTTCCTAGTCATCCTTCCCACCCAAAGCCACTGCAACCCACAGTTCTGTCTTCCTCCTGAACTCCTCCTGCCTACCCTGGATTCATCTGTGTACCAGGAAAAGGTATTGACTCAACAAATATTTACTGAGCACCTACTATGTGCCAGGCACCTACTGTGTTGGGGTGGGATCACAACAAAAACGTCAGTCTCTGAGATTCTGTAACCCAGCTGACGCACCCTTCAAGGTCGGAATGCTCCATCATCGTTGTTCTCCATGCAGAGTCTGCCTGGCACCCAGTAGGCGCTTAGTGGAGGTTGTTCTCCACCCAGTAGGCGCTTAGTGGAGGTGGGCTGACCGTCCCTCAGCAGTTTATGGGGAGCACGCCTCTTCACAGCAATGGAACAATCCTTAGCAGAGCAAGCACGCGTGGTCCAGTAGAACAAGCATGTGGGTGGGGGGAAGCTTTGCTGTGTGACCTCAGGGCCTTCACCTCCCTCTCTGAGGCACAGAGAAGTTATAAGGATTCAGTGAGGAAATGGGAGTCAGTCTAAGGGCACGGAGGCCGATCAGAGGGCCCACGTGACAACTCCTAGTTCAGGGCCTTGCCCGATAAATGTCCACCTCCTTTCCGCTGTCTCTGTCACCTTTTGGGGGGACACTTATGTACCCCATGATGTTCAAGGGGATGCAAGGACAGGAATTCAGAACAGAATGCTCAGTCACCTCTGGTAAATGGCCTCCCTCACAGACCCTAATAACAGCCACTGTCGGAACAACCCTAATTTCACTGCCTGTGGAAACCTTTTCTTGTTCTAGCTACCGAAATAATACATGTTCGCTGTAAAACACTGAAAGATTACAGGAAAGTGCAGGAATACCGTTTTGAGATAACCCGTCACCCTATGACAATATTCTGGCATAGTCCCGTCCACAAGTTCCCCTGGGTCAGTTGGTCTGGGCCATCGTCTCTCATGGCTGAAGAATATTCCACTGGATGGACACAGCACTGCTCATTTACCCAATCTCCACGTGTCAGGGCGTTTAGGTTACTGATTATTTGTCATCGTTATAATCAACAATATGACAAACATCCTTGCAGTTAAAGCGACAACTCTCTGTGATCATGTCCACAGGAGAGATCCTTAGGTCACAATCTCCAGGTCAAGGGCCAGTTTATTTTGGCTCCTGATGAGTCAGCCAGCCTTGGGACAGTCTGCCCCATCTCTAAGCCCACGGGCGGAATGAGGGTGGCTGCTAGCACACTTGAGGAATAAAATCAGTCCCACTTGGGGAAGCTTGGATATTTTTGCTTTGAAAGGTCACCTGACATTCTCAGATGCCCGGCACCCTTGACAGAGTTCTCCCTGGGCCCCGAGAATGGAAGTGGTCATCTGAGCGCGCTCCCAGCTGCTTACTATTTTCAAAGATGTGATAGAATCAGCCTCACTTAATCCCCCGCATGAGTCAGATTCAGAGGCCAGAGGTTGGAGCCTTGGGGGTTCTGCTGGTATAGCTGACATTGTTGTCTCTGGTGGTTTGCACATGGTTGCAAGCTGGATGCTAGGCCTGTGCCCTGTATGTGCTAAACTCAGCAGAAAGCAGAGGGGTGACGCTGGAGGGACAGCTTGCAGCATGGGGCAGGGAGGAGAGCTTACAGTATTTGTTCTGCCCCAGCTGTGTGGCCTCGTCAAGTCACTCCACCCACCCAAGCCTCAGTTTCCATCCAAAACACAAGGGTCATTTTCAGGCTTCAAGAAATAATCTCTGCGAAGTGTTAAGCTCCGTGCCCGGCATGTAACAGGTGCTCAGGGGACAGCAGATGCGGTGATTGGAACTATTTTCATGACCCTCCCCGGAGTCAGGCAGGAGGATGGACCCTTAGCAAAGTGTGATCCTTCTCGGGTCCTCAAAACCCCAAGAGATGGGTTTGTGCTGTCTCAGCGCTGGGTGACTCGTGGATGGGGCTTCTGGAAATCAGAGTGGCAAGTTCCCCAGGACACAGAGGGCAGAATCAGGACAGGGGGCAGGGCCTTGGATGGGGGAGCGGGGATGGTGTCCAGCAAACACGCTGGCTCCCATGCGTTCCTGTCTGGGGGCCCTCCCGCCAAGGGAACTGGAGTCCCACCATCGAGGATGGACGTCTTCTCCCTCCAACGCGTGATGCCAGACTCAGGATTAGAGGGCAGCATCCCGGGATCCTCTGTCACTCTCACCCTGATGTCCCTATCAGTCCCCAAGTCCTTTAAAGTCTCCTTCCAGAACATTCCGGCCAGCCTCGGCCAGATCCAGGGTCTCCCTGCCTCCCTGGCCTCCGGCCCCATCCCATGTACTTTCTTCCTATTATACATTCCCAAACCAGAATCTGAGCCTGCAGGGTCCCTCGGGGGAAAAGCTCCAAACTGTGGGACCTTCACGAGTGGGGCTCTTTCAGTGCCCCTCCCCCACCCCACGGCCCTCCTAGGCCCTCCCACCAGCTGCTCCAGCCTGTTCTCCCCTCCCATTCCTCAGTCTGCACTCCCTCACTTCCAGAGCTGCTGGAGCAGCCCACCTCCTCCTGGCTGGAGCTCAGATTTCAACTTTGATGGCTCTTCTTCCAGGAAGCCTCCCCTGACCTCTCCCCCCCCCCCCACCAAGGCTGGCTCAGGACCCACCCGACCGCCCCCTGTCCCCTAGGCCTCAGGTTTATACCTGTGCTAATACAGTAGACGCTAGCCACGTGTGGCTATTTACATTTAATTGAAATTAATTAAAACTTTAAAATGCTAAGAATTCAGTGGCACTTGCCACATTTAACGGGCTCCCACAGCCACATGTGGTCACCATGTTGAACAACACGGACACAGACCATTCCCATAGTTGTAGAAAGTTCTAGTGGACAGCTCTGCTGTAGAACTTTCCACAACATAATAATTATAATTGAACTGGTTTTTTTTTTTTGTTTTTTTTTTACTCTCTCCTGGGACAAGTACTATTTCTGGAGACATAATGCCTGCATTTGAATCCAGGCTCCAACACATAGTAGCTGTGTGACTTTGGGCAAATTACTTGACTTCTCTGTGCCTCAATGTCTAGACAAAGCAGGTGTTTAATAGTCGGTTGAATGCCATCGCAGTCACTATTTTCCACAGACCCCCCCCCAAATTTGGAGTGATGCAGTGGTTAGGAGTATCTAAGGGAATTCATCTTATAAATAAAGCTTAAGGAAGCAAGCTGTTTATCAGTATTCTCTCCAGTTAATATCCTGGTAACCTTGTGTGGATGGCAAATTATTCATGTCGCATCACTCTGGCAGGCCCTGGCAGCACTCCACGTCAGCAAGGCATGAACTTGGCTCCCAGGGCTGCAATGCTTGGAGATCAGCCGCTAAAAAAGGGCCCAAAACTCTTCTAACAACTTCCTAAAAGTTAGGATTTCTTATTAGCTTTAAGGCAGGATGTCCATCCGATTTAATTTTGCCTCACAGGCTGCTATAAAAAACCCTACCTGCAGGCAAATAGATATCTACCAGGTAGTCTGAAAACACACGATGGCTAAGGTGCCGTTTGTTGGGGAACACACAGCCATTTGTTGGGGGAACACACGTATCCTAATAAGTCCCCCACTGGGGTCACGCACTGATCTTTTCTGACATGCACCTCTGATGGATCTCAGCCACCCCCAACCCATATT